CCAAATTCTGTTCTGGGTTTTAACTAATTAATAAATAAAAAACACTTAAAAGTAATGAAAATTAATCCAGCTTTATCAATTTGATGATGCATCCAGCTTAATTATTAAAAAGTATAGATACAACACAGGGGTCCCAGCAAGTGTAGCCTAGCTGTGAAACACTGTTTAGCGTAGGAAAGGATATTTTCAGACCAAAGAGAAACCGCCTTTCTGATGCCACTTTTGAAAAGTTTCTCTTGTGCCATGTAAACAAACACTTGTTAGAACAATAAGAGCCCACCCATGCACCATTACCCCTGTCCCCCTCGCCCCTCCCCTTCCATCCCATCCCATCCCCCCAGCACTAAAACATGTAATTCAGGACTTTGATTCTCATTTCAGTTTGGACCAGTTCATTTGCTATTGTCCCAGTGATCACTCAGAGCCATGCTTATTAATCATGGTGTTGCATGTCGTCCATAAACACAGTTTAACGCGGTTCTTAAACACAAAGTTCACTTGTAACTTCAATCGACTTGTTAAATTGGGGTCTGAAGAAGTTTTCTCATTAAGGGAGGCCCTGAGGAAATAAGATGGCTGTTAATATAGTCCCTAGAAATTTTAAATTGATTTAAACCTATAGCCATGTCTTGTCCTTTGAACACTACACAGTAGCTTTCATTTGATACTAAATAGTTTGTTTACTAGAGTACTGGTTTACCTATAGTAGTAGGCCAATAACTTTTTTTTGTTTTTTCCCCAAAAAAAATTGTTTGTGTCTTTTCTAAAGTGGTATACAGCACTTTGGTCAGCCTTGTGGCTGTTTTTATAAGTGCTTTATAAATAATGTGGTGTGATGTGTGATGTGGTATGGTATGGTATGGTATGGTAAAAGTAAGCTTTTATTTATGTCTCGATGCTTCACATAATGCAATGTCTACACTTGTTAAATCATAGGTTGTTCTTTAATAAATGTCTTAGCCAGTGTATCTGACTCATTTTGCACTGATCTGGCATTAGGTTGGTACAACGTGAAGTAGCTTCTGATGTAGTTAAGCTACTTTTGCCATATTTGTGTAACTTAGCTTGCTATATTTCTATGAGTGGTAGCTTTTGTGTAGTGAAGCTTAATTTATTGTTGAGTAACTGATAGCTTAGCTCACTACATTTTACAAGTAGCTTGCCCAACACTGAATATAACATTGAATCAACGTTATTTCAATCAAAAATCGATGTTCGGTAATGAGTTAATTCTGATGTCAGA